ATTGAATGAAATGAAAGTAGAAAAAGGAGACAACTTATCTTTGTATGGATGCCGTGTTTGGTCAAAAGATTGATCAACGGCTCCGCGAGCCAATCACCCTTGTGGTGCCAGGCAATCAGCTTAAGGCACAGGTGACGTGTCACAAACCTCCACTCCTTCGTTACAAAAGTCACAGTGGCCCCAAGGAATCCATAACGATTGCCCTTGGTGGTCCATGCATCATGTATCAGTCCGAATTTGCTGGTAAGAGCCTGAATAAAGACAAACAATATAGACATCATTATTCATGTTTATAGAGGAGGAAAATGAAGAAAATCTAAAATCATCGCTCACCTTGAGTTCGCCAAAAACCACAGCTCTCATTTCCATATACGCCTCATGCGCAAACCGGTGTAGTACTTATAGCACAACAAGGGCTATACAGTGCTTTGAAAGAGGATAATCTGAAGATATAATAGATCTAAAGAAGGTGTCTGAGACTGCTCTTTCTGAGAATCTTTAACAAACTGGGCTTTGTTGTTAAAGTCTCCTGATAACAGAGAAATATAACTAGGTCTTTGATAATAAGAGAAAAGTATCTTGATAAAAAGCACCCGAGAAATAAGCTCAACACATTTAAAGTGTTATTCCAGTCGAGTCAAAATGTTGAAAAATAAGCTCAATATCTTTTGATATTATTCCAGAATGACAGTGTCATATAAAGCACATAAAACAAATTTCTCCTCTAATGAAGGGCTGATTTGAGTGACCTAGTACTGCTCTAATAAGTTTATAATGATAAAAATGATTAATGCTATGTAAGAGATGAAGAAGAAAGGAAACATGATTTCGCACAAGAGACACAAGTTTATAAACACATCAATACAAATTGTTAAAGTGGTAAACAGCTCTTAAAAATCCTCTTTGCCATCTAAAAAACCAAAAGATGACTAAAATGTTGGTAAACAGCTATGATCCAATGATTCAACCACTCTCTACATTCCTAAATTTAGCCATCAGTAGCTCACCAACCCATTATGATCATTACTATGATGTAATGTGATCTTCTATTCATCATCTGATCAGATTTATTACTAATTTGACCAGTAAAACATGACTAATCCCTATTCTTATGATCAAATGGTGTGGATATGCTGTGTATATGCTGTGATTTGGATGTTCTAGAATGAATACTGATTTGATCTTATCACGATTCATCATTTCAATGATGTAATTGCTAGTTATTAATGATTTGTGATCTTGTTGATGTGTAATCAAATCCTTTGATTCCTTATAACTTTTGTCATACACCTATGTAACTAATGATTTAAAGATTGTACATTATGAATTTGATGATTCTGCGTCGAATGAACTATTACTCATTATGCTCTGACGTCATTTGACACATGTAATCATCTGAAAACCTTCATTTTCGACCATTTTCACCTATTTTCTTCACTTTTCACACCTTTTACTAAGCCTTTCTTCCCTTATGTAACATTACACAGAAATATCTAACCGTGGAAATCCCTAAAAACACTCTTGGCAACCTCATTCATTACTAATACCACTGTTACATATGTAAAACTACCTGTAAACCCTTGTTTACCAATTTCGACTTTTTCCCATTTCCTTAATAGCTTTTATCTTCTCTTATCAACCACCAAGATTAAAGTTGTTGCTGACTAAAACAATGCTCCTCTTTCGTATTCTAACCCTACTAAACCCATAAACCTAATATCACTACCCTAAAAACCATTTCTCAACCTGTATACCTATATTTTCAAGTTTTTCTTATGTTTTTTTCTTTCTTTCTTTTTGTAATCTGTTTGTTAATAGTTTATACTGATCTTGATAAGTTTGTTCATATAAATTGAGTATGTAAGGATTAAATACATGTAATATAATTGATGTAATTCAAAATTTGATTTTTTTGATTTTTTGATTGGTCTCATAGATTGATTACCACACCGGGCAACCCACATTCTGCCCAACAAGTGAGCGTTGGGGTTAGCATACCTGAAAGAAGCCCGCAGATACGGGTCTTTGACTTGGCACCACAGTTGAGCCGTCCTGATCACCCGCATTCCAAGCATTTGATCAAGGATCTTGTTGTCAAACTTGGGAACAACGTGTGCATAGGTCAAGATCGAGGTTTGACCTTCTGCAGTGTTGGCAGCTGCATTTTGACGTTCAAATTCAGTGGGAGGAAGCAAGCATCCAGCCTCGATGGCTGAATTCCTCTGCTTGCATCCTGCCTTCCCAGACTTCGTTAGCTGCTTGGATCCATCGCAGTCAACCCGTAGGCCGGAGGTACCTCCTGCACTGCAAACGTTGGCTTTGCAAAACTTGCAGCAAAAGGTGCCCTTTACACCCGGGGGCTGAAGATCATGGTGAGAAAGAATTGAATGCGAGATGATAACAATGGAATGAATCAATAAAACGTCAAATAAAAGAAAGCTTAGAAATGAGGATGAATGAAAATTCTTACATCTTTGGGACCTTGGAACCCCTCATCATAGTAATCCCTCACAGGATCGTACTGATCATCTTCTTCAGTTTCGTCAATGTCTTTGATTTCTTTGACAACTTTGCGGTTCTCGTCGTCTGAGTCTTGAACCAGGTCCATCTTAAGCTTCATTGAACTCGAAGCAGGTGCAGCGGGTGCTTGGGTTTGTTTTGTTGCTTGGCTGGCGACTTTGGAACTTCTCAAAGCTTTCTTGGGTGCCGACTTGTGTTTAGAAGAAGTCGAAGTAGATCCAGAAGGTTTTGAAGAAGTCAAAGATGATCGAGATGGAGAAGGTTTCAAAGCAGTCAAAGTTGATTGAGATCGAGAAGGTTTCAAAGCAGTCAAAGTAGATCGAGAAGGTTTCTTCAATGCCGGTGGGAGGATTTCTTCAACAGCAGATTTGGATTCATCACCGTGGTCCTCATGTCATAATCTGATGGAGTTCATTTGCGTTTCTTACTAGTAATGCGTGGTTGAACTGAAACATCTGATTCGGATCCAACATCTTCACGATGAAAAGAACGGCAAGAATCGCCAGGCAATGTTATCATGTGAGATTGATTTCTAGCTGGAGAGGGACGAGTACTACGGCAGTTTGTTTGCAATGAGGAAGACATGTTTAGGTGGTGTTTGGACAAACTGGATAACCTAGGATTGAAGAGTAAAGGAAATAGAGGGAAAATCAGACAATGAGGACTTTGAAGGAGAATAAATGGAATGGAAGGAAAGAATTAGAATGAGAAACGGGACAAATGTTCGATGTGGTAGCAAGGGCCTGCTATTATAGCAGTTCCCTCCACTTCGTGACACTCGAACGTGGAATAAAAAACCCATGAGCCTGGAAGTAGAATATCATACATTAGTTCGGTGAATGAAACAACGCAAGGAGTTATATTAGCTCAAAACGACTTACTTGTTGGCCAGATGGGTATCTTGGTGGTGTTATACTAAAACACACCAGTCGCCCTCAATTGCCCCCTGGCTGGTTTGGGTATCTGGGTACTGTACAGGTACGGTACGTTACAGTAGCCTTGATGACGGGTACCAATACTCTGCAGTTCCGGTACCTTACCTAGATTCCCGGAACTGTACCTGGTACTTGTGGTTGGGACTTGTTTTAACCGAGGGGAATAGGTAGTGGCTTAGGGAGATGCGAAATCGAATCAAAGAGTCATTTTGAATCTTACTCATCTTCAAAGAATCATGTGTCAAATGGTAGAGATCTTGTAACGGTTTTCAAAGGTTTTTGTCAAATCTCGTTTCTCATCTCTGAAGCTTTCTCAGATCCGTTTGTCCCACTTCATTGTTTTCTTCTTTACCGATTTGAATTCATCCTTAGCATTATCAACAAAAAATTGTAGTGTTCTCTTCGTTTTTATTACAAATTTTTGTTTCCCGCCCTCCCTCCCGTTTCAACTCGGTTATTTTCTTATTGTAGTTTATAGGCCGCCCTCAGGGCCTCAAGTTGTGGCTTATTCTTACACTGCAATTCGCTCAGACCCCTCGGGGCCATCCAGCGTTTAGCACTTTTTATAAAATAAAAAAGATTCAAAATATACAGCTGTTCCAACAAAGATTGATTTTTTTGGAAATCTTGCCAATGTGCAAAACCCGGGTTTTGTCCCTCACTTGATTTTGTCTCTCCGCTAATTGGAAGAATACAGGAAATAATAAACCTGTAATCAAGTTTTGTCTTTGGTTTTAGCCGCTGCGGAGACAACTTTCTCCAAAAAAAAGTTGTCAACCTTTCTTGGAACGGCTGTAAAACTCTTAATTTCAAAACAGCCTCTTCTGTGCCTAACCTCTTCCCGTACCTGATGACCAAAACCCTATTTCAGCCCTTCCAGTACTGTAGCCGACACCGGGTACGGTACTCCTAGGTACGGCACTCACCTGGTTAGTGACGGTACTGAACGGTACCGGTACCAGTGCAGTCACTGTTGCTGCGTTGCTGTCAGGGTTGTCCCGATAGCCCCTCGTTCTCGTTTAGGCCGCAGGTAGGGCTATGACCCGGCCCTGGCCCTGACCGGCCGAGTGTGCCCGAGCGTTTTCTAGGTGAGGTCGAGGCCGAGCCCGGGGCCTCAAGTCCAGCCTGGGAATAGCAAAAAAGGCCCCGGTACAGGGCTACTCGGGGCCGGGGCCGTCGCAAAAAATCTTTATGGAGGCAATCTTTTGGAAAAATTGACGTCATCAAGCATCCTTCCCGAGCTCTCAAACACGCTTTCAAGGGGATGGTCCGAGCCAGGGCCTGCCCGGTGCTGCCCGGCAGCATCCTTGAGTATTGCGTGGCCGAGGCCGGGCCTGAATCGGCCCCGGGGCCGGCCCTGACACTTCAGGGCCGGGTCATACCCCTAGCCGCAGGCGATGCTCTTAAATTGGAACCGTCATCATTCTTGTTGTAGAGTTATGGGGTTACACAACTGCACCACAGGCAGTCACGTGATAGTTGTACAGCTTGTAGTAGATATGTTCTCTTCTCCTCGGCGGAAGCTTCCACATCATCATCTGTTGTGGAAGCCAACGTCTCGGAGTAAGAACTGACCCCGCCGCCGTCCTATTCGCTATAGGTTATGAGCTGCGTTACCGCATAAACGAACCGTTTCAACGTTTTTATCGTTATTTCGCTACGCTCATAGTGTAAGACTGACCGCCATCAGCTACCGAACTTATGTCAATTCCTCGTACTCCACCAAAGAAGTTGCAATCCACATCAGGACCTCAGACTCGTGCCCAATCGAAATCGCATTCCCGATCACAATCCAGATCGAGATCCGAATCGGCAGAACCAGCGGATCCGTCCACATCGACTAGGGAGAACACCCCAGCCGGTGGAACGGAACGTAACCCCCCCAACAACATCTTCGTACAATCACCTCCATCACATCTCCTTTTAAATCAACCTCCTGCCGATAAACACTTTACCAAAAACGTTACTAAAAGATCTAGACAACGCACGCAGACTGAAGAACTTTCAGACCACGACGCCGAACAAACTGTCATCATGTCTCAATTAGACCCTACTGCTGAAAAACTGAAAGAACTCGGAACGAAGCACGACAACGTTCATAAATTCATCGAAGACGTAGATCACCTCAAACTGGATGGATCGAACATCTCTCGATGGAAACTACGTACATCCAGAGCTGTCTTCGATATGACTGGTATCCAAGACTACTGGAACTCGAAGCGACCAGACGAGAACTCGCCGGTGCAGATGCAGATCGATCGCTGTGCTGGTTGAGTCATCCACTGTACCATCGATCAGAACCTCAGGGATATGATCAACGATAAGTTCAAAGCTCACGATGCCATGTTCGCCCTCGATGAACTATTCAGACAAGGCCGACGAACGGCCCAATACGTAACCTTCAGATCAATCATGCTAAGAAAATTCAATCCAGTCACCCACCTGTGGCACCGAGAAAGCCCGGCGTGTACCCGAAGATAACGTAGTGCATTATCAACGGCCTATAGCCGAAAAACCGCCTGCAGATGAAGACAGATCGAGCAGAGTCATCTGAAGAAATTTTTCGAAATGCAAAGTCATTTCTCACCAAGTTTACTTATGATCAATCTTCATTTCATGTGTCATCAGGCATGACCTGAACACCTAAAGAGGGGATGCACAGACCATCATCACCTTCAATGCCTTAAAATGGTTGTATTAGTGTAAAAATCCCAAGATCAGGCAGAGCCAGGCTCATCTGACCAAATCTGACAGCAGATGGAATCTGCGAGTTGTAGTCAGACTCATCTGCTACAGTCACGGCTATCAACATAGCCATGACTGTGGCAGATCAATCTGACTACTCATCTGACCAAATCTGACAGCAGATGGAATCTGTGAGTTGTAGTCAGACTCATCTGCTACAGTCATGGCTATCAACATAGCCATGACTGTGGCAGATCAATCTGACTACAGCTCACAGATTCATCTGTCATTAACAGGACTTTAAACTCAAAACTTTCACTCGAAATTCATGACACTGCACATAACACTATAATCAGAGGAAATGCCATCTGCACTCATCTGCACTCCTCATTACAAATGATCTTACCCGTTGTACATACACATTGGTGTCGTATCACTATAATATCTCCTGCATACCTTATCAAGGATGAAATTGTCAAAAGACCATCATGAAACATTTCAATGAAAAGAAAAGGAGGCCAATGTGATTGTTACAAATGCTCACAATTGTTGTTCCATTTTTCAAATCAGCCACCACTCATTAGTATATGAGGGAGCAATACTCGGTTTCAACGAGTAGATTCATCACCATGTGAGCTTAATTGACATACAAGATGTTATTTAGGTTAGATACCGCTTGGAGCTGTTAACAAAAAGGGGATAAGTTATTGGTAACTGGCCTCTGATGCCTACAATTGCTACTGTGGAGAGGTCAGCCTCATCTGGTCGAAATTTGAATTTTCGCACTCGGAGGGGGGGAATCAATCTGGCCTCATCTGGTCAGAAATCGAACCTTTGAACTCAGAGAGAAGAGCTGATCTGGCGTCATCTGGCCAGAATCGCAATTACACCCAGTCAGTTCTTCGCCCGAGTCTGGTCAAGATTTTATTAGGGGCGCAGACTCATCTCGTACCCAAATTTTTAATCATTTGCGCAACAACAGTGTTGCGCTTCACATGAGGAAAATCTCACTTGCTTTCTCATCGCATAGCTTGCTGAACAAGAAACACAAAACAAATAGTTTTTTTAACGGGTTCATCAGATTTGTAACATTTGATACTTTCGCTTCCTAAAAAGAAACTTCAAACATAAAAAAGAAACGGTGAAAAGAAACAAGAACAAATTTCTTAACATCCGATAGCTGGATCTAACATAAGACACGACACTTTTCATCCTTTGATGAAATTGAAAAGAAACACTAAAAAGAAAATAGAAACGTTGAAAAGAAACAGGCAAGGTTTTTAATTGTATCATCCAATTTGTAAAACATCTGATAGCTCGCTCCGATCTAACATGAGAAACTTCGCATCCTTCGATGACAGTATAAAAAAATTGAAAACAAAAAAAATTGAAAACAAAAAAACGTATTTAATTGTATCATCAGACTAGAAATTTATATAGCTTGTATAGCAAGTTTATTTAGTTTGTATAGCTTAAACAACAACTCATGAAATCCAGTTAGACGATCAGTCTTCTTCCTCACCATCATCACTTTCGATTGTGGAATCACTTTCACCTCCATTTTTATTCTTGTTTGCTGCTTGATTTGAATTAGACTCAGCACTGGGATTGTTATCAATTGAGCCTACCACCTTATCCATCGCGCGAGGAGTAGTAGCCAAAGCTGCCTCTATTTCGTTATCATCTAAAGTCACCGGCTCGCCAATTGCCTCATCAGACCCAACCCTCAATTTTGTTAAGCGAAATTTACCGTCTTTGATGTCATTGATCCACTCAAGTCGGGTTGTAGATTGCATCTTCTTGAATCCAACGGCCAGCTTTTCGTCCGTCAGTCTTGATCCTTCGGCAAGACCAATAGAGAGTGGTAAGGCCCTTTTTTTTACTTCAGATACCGGGTCAGCAGTCTGTGGAAAAGCCTGAGGGGGAGTGTATCCCAGAGTTTTGTCTGCCAACACAAGCAGAGCATCAGATGTGCATAACAAATAAAGGAAGGATGAAATACTCAAAAACACTCACATGTAATAGCTGCCAAGAGACGTCCTAGATCTACTTTAATTTTATCACTCGGCTGTTGCTTATCAGGCCGTTGTCGTTTGGGTTTGCCGTTAACCAAGGCAATTGCCTTTGCCATGGACTCGCCTTGTGAATACGTTGCAAAAACAGTTGCAAGACTGCAACTTTTGTTGGCCCAAGTAGCTATTTGGGGATGAGTCGTGAATTGCTTGAGCCACCCCAGCTCAGTAGACTTGTTCGGAGTGACTGTGCTGGTCGCCACCAGGTAGTAGGCAAAGTCTAAACGATGGGCTTCGCATGAAAGCTGAGTCACCGGAAGAAAGTTAGTCTCTTGCCCATTAACTTGATAACTCTAGCAAAAGATGGTTAACTTACCTGATGAGAGATCCTCTTGATAGCTGTCTTTGATTTACGCTGGAGCTGTGATTTGGAAGGACCCGTGGAAGGCTTGCCCAGTTGGTTTTCAACCTTCTTTAAATCGACTAGCCGTTCATATATAGGCCGGTAGAGCTCGTCCTCTTCAACAGTTAGCTTGTGAACGGCTGGGATTGGTACAAAGGTGTCGCCATCCTCCTCCTGATTATCATCCACACGGTCTTCGATGGTTTCCAAATCTAACAATGGGTTAGGAACGCCAGCCAACGCGTAGAAGATAATGGGATCAAACACAGCCACCTCATCTTCGGAAAGTGCTCGCCATCGTGCCCCGTTCTTCCGGTTGCGATCACCCAATACGACACCACCTTCTTCTGCACCTCTCAGCGGCACTAATGAGATTGAAGGAAATGATTTGAGTAAATCAATTGATCAGATGTTCAGATTGATATTCGAAAATGCGACTTACTTGGTTCGCCCAAACAACCGATACAGTACTCGAGGAATAGTGTGTAAGCACTTGTAGCTCTTGTAGCGGTCAATTCAGGTCTGTTGGATTATACAAAGATAATGAAACAACAGTTGTAAGTAAAGTACATAGAAAAGACTCTAAATGAATGATTACTTACATTATGGACTTGATGGTACTCTCGCTCACTTGACCTATCATAGCGAGCATGAGGAGCTCTTGGTTGAATTGTTTGAATACTAACTTGACATGATCTCGAACTTCAGTAGATGGTCGGTTATGAGTCGAAGCTTTATGTTCTCGGAGATGTTCAATAATACGACCAGGAGGCCACAATTTCATCAAGGTCTTATAATTTTTAAGTGTAGGAGTGACTTCCAAATCATTCAAAGGTGGTTGATCGTCAATGTCGTTGGCACCAGTAGATAAATCGGTATGAGATGGTTCATTAGCGTTGGTGGCGTCGTTGTTACGAACTCGTTTAGATGGGTTGGTGGAGCGTGGAGCCTGAGGAGGTCTCTTAGACACAGCAGCACGGGTTGAGGTGTTCAAACCATTAGTTCCTGGAGCTGCATCTTCTGGTTGATTACCTTGCTTAGAAGACTTGGAAGCGGCCGAAGCTCCTTTCTTTCGAGTTCGAGGAGCCATTGCGGGTAAGTGTTTTAATGTGATGTAATGGGTTGTTTGAAGATCTTCTGAACTAAATAAGGCTATTGAAGTGAAAACAAACTGGGCGATGACTTGATGTGAAAAAGGGATGGTTTCTCAGTGAAATGAAGATCCGTAAGTTAGAAATAAATTTTGATTCGATGCATCGATTTGAAAGTTGAGTTTTTCCAGCGATGTAAAGACCTGTTAGTAATACACTAATTTGGACTTGTTTTGAAAGTAATTTGTTTGAACTTGAACTGAATAAGGCTGATAACTTTTCGAATAAAATCATCATTTAATTCATATCCGAGTCAAAGAGGTTTGTAAGAAGGAAGTTGAAAATAAATTTTGAATTGATAATTTTGTCCAGCGATGTAAAGACGTCAATTAAAATTAATCTTTGAAGCAATGATCTGATGATGATTCGATTTCGGGGTAGGAAAAAATGTTGACAATCACTATAGAAGATAATTGTAACTCAAGATGATTTTAAGCTGATGAAGAATCTAATAAGTTCAAACGATATCAAGGAGCAACTTGAAGTGGTTTTGAAACGAGATAGGATGTGAGTTGGAAGTGATTGTTGGATTAGATAAGAGATGATTTCAAGCTCATGAACGAACAATCCAATAAGCTCAAAGAAAGGATGTAAGTTAAAGGGAATTTTTGGATTAGAAAACACGAACAAGCGAATTAGATTTGATTCGAAGGGGATATTTTGAAGCGATGAAGACTGTAATCACCTGAATATAAGTCAATTGTGAAGGGCTCTTTTGAAAGGAGTGGATAGGGAGGTTTCTTGATTATGTAGAAGTTTCTGGAAGGATGAAATGATTTCGATATCACTGATATGATATGTAAATGTATATTATGATATGTAAATGTATAATATGATTTTTATATCACATATGTAAATGTATAGTAATCAATGATCGATATCACTGATAGTGATGTCCAAGACAAAAACCTTTATTGTGACTAACTTAACTAAGTCCCTCCTCCTCGCAGGCGTCCTCCGGAGCCTGCGGAGGAGGGACTTACGACTTATCGAGTTGTTTCAGCCTGAGTAGATTCCCAAAATCCAGATTTTCAAACATTTGAAACTGGACCTACATTATTACCTTCATCATTGCTTTGTTGAAAAATCTGAACAGACCAAAAAATTCTCGCACATCCTGTACATAGTCTCATCAACATGATCACATTGGTTAATATGATTCTTTTCCTTCAATCATCAGATTGAAATCTGTAACAATTTTTGAAGTCGATTGTACCACTGCGGAGGCGGTTGAATCCGAAAGATGCCCAAAAGGTTTTGGACGATGGCAAAAGAGAGAGAACCATGTCAAAAGAGAGAGGCGATCAAGGAGTAAGAGGGAGGGAGAGAGAGCGTCGTTTTGATTACGAGAGAGAGAGACAGACTCGTTTGTCTGTGAGACACGGTGCAAAAGTTTCAAGGGAGGGATTGGTTCTGGCTCAAGCTTTTGAAAAGCATACGAAAAATCAAGCTTTCAGCCCGGTTCTCAAGTTACCCAACCGATCAACTCACGGCGTGTCGACGTTGCTTTTCAATGGTCACCATCGATTCGCCTGCTTTCGAGCCTGAAGGAAGAAGAGATACTCTTCGTAGCTCAGCTAGAAACAATCTGACACCCGCGAAACATGTACAAAATAATCGACGACCTACTGAAGTCCTCGCTTATTTGCCTTCGGATGCAGTTCCTAAGCAAACTCATGCAAAGGTTGTTCTTCCAGACTGGGTCCTGGCCTTGACCGAGGAAGAATTGAGGAAGCTAATTGAGGACAATCATTTGAAAAGATATAAATGCAAAGCTAAAGAGCTACAAGTAGAAGCAGTTGTGGCTTTGGTCGCGGGGCGTGATACATTTATACTGGCGGGCACTGGCTATGGAAAGACTCGAGTTGCAGAGATGTTTCTGGATTTGTTTGCAATAGAGTCAAAGGCCACGCTTATTGTGTTAAATCCGCTGGATGCTTTGGGTGACAATCAGGTAAGTGATACATATTCCATAATCATCATCGGAGCCCATCATGTTACTATACTTTACTTATTAATGTAATGTTTTGATCTAAGGTTACTGAGAAAAAGAGATGGAATATCACCGCTGTGAATTTGAAAAAGGACAGCTTTACAAGCGCTGTGGAAAATGATATCATGACAGGTGTTTACAGAGTAATATATGTGGTGAATATTTTTTCTCGAACCTTCAATTGTTCATTCATTGAAATGAAGCTGATGTCAAAATACTTTGGATTTTTGATAAAGAGCCCCGAAATCTTTTTAAATAGCAAGCCTTTTGAGCGTATTTATTTCAGTATAAAGTTTCAAAATCGTCTTATTTTGAAGGTAATAGATGAAGCGCATATGATTTACTGGTGGGGAATGGTCCAGAACGGACAAGCAAAGCACTCGGCCGCGTTCATGCGGCAACAGGATGGAGGTCAATTTCGACCATCTTATGGAGAGCTGTTTCTCCGTCTGATAGCTACAAATAAAATTCCTCTTCTATTGATGTCAGCAACTTGTGCACCGAGGCCTTTCGCCGCGATTCTCAACAACTTAAGCATCCAGGAGGTCGATCTCAAGATTGTACGTGGCGAACTGAGTCGATCGAATATCAGAATCATTCGAATTCAAATGGACCACGGGTTAAGGAGTGCATTAGATTTAAAAGCGCTTTATGCTAAAAAGGAAGCAGTGCCCGATTGTGATCTAGTGAAGGCACTAATCTACTCAGGTTCAAGGAATGCTACCTTTGAGGTGATGAAAGTTATCAACAAAGCCCGAGGCACACCAAAAGGCGAGCACGATCCAGACAGCTCTCTGATCCGAAGGTACCATTCATGTATCGGAAATAAAGAGAAAGAACGTGGAATTTTGGGTTATACAAAAGACGAATTCCCTCTGATTTCATGTACATATGCTCTTGGCCTTGGTCAAGATTGGCCTTCGGTGATGGAGGTGATTGTCATGGGTCGGACAGCCATTCCAGAGCTGACTCAACTGTTTGGCAGATGTGGACGCGGAAGAAGTGCAGGGTTAGCCATCCTATTTGTGGAAAGAATTCGGTCTGGAGGTGAAAATGATGTTGAGAAGGTTGATGATAAAAAACAAATGACTGACGATCAGCTCATGGATATGTATGCTTTGACACCAATCTGCCTACGAGTGGCGCTATCACTGGCAAACACGTAAGTCGTCATTTGTTGGAACAATCACTCGGCGGGTTTCTCAGACTGACTTTGATATCTAGGATTGGAACAATCCCCCGTCGCGTAGATGATCCCCGAGTGATTGCCGAAAAGGAACGGGAAGCAGACGCCGGATTCCCAAAATGCACTTGCTCGAATTGTGACCCAGAAGCTGCTGAGATGCTAGTTTGTAACTTACCTCGATTGACAAAGGCGAATTATCAGATGGCTATGGAGGATGTATTCAAAGTTGATGGGTTTTTGAAACCCATCGATATCGAGGCCGAGAAAGTTGCAGCTCAGGCGGGTAATGCACCAGCATTACCTAAAAAAACCTTGTCAAGAAAAAGAAATGGTCCTTTGGATACAGCTTTGAAGGAACTCGCTGATGAATTGGTTTCCATTTATAAGTTGCATTACATCAAGATTTTTGGAGATGATGATTATTGTGAAAGTGAAGATTATTTTGGAATTGGTGAGGCAAGAACAATAGTCAATTCACTTGATAACATTAAGCAATCACAGGACATCGAGCAGGCTATGGGTGGGGATATAATTGAAGGAGGTGTCAAGCTTGTTTTTGAATACCTCGAGGAATGGAGGAAACAAGACATTGCATTACAATATTCGCAGAAACAAGCAAAGCTGTTAGAGATGAAAAGCAAAGCTGATGACAAGCGTGTGTTAGCAGATGTCACAAACGTCAAACAAATTCCGACTGGTCCTGCAGCAGCAACCAAGAAAAAGAGAAGGTCTTCAGCTCAGGTCAAAGCCGATAAAGAAGCTGCCATCCTTAAAGCTGATTTCAATCGGCGGTGTTTGAAATGGATGAAAGAGGATAATGTTCCAGCTGATAAACTTGATGAAAGAGAGGAGGCTTACCAAAACGAGTGAGTTGTACTCTTTGCTGAACCAGTCCACAAAATCTTCATCAATAGTTCCAAATCCATGTCGCAGATCAGATTCATTAATTTCTTCGCTTTCAACCGGTTGATTTTCATCTTGTTCTGGACTGTAGTTTGAAGCAACAGGCCAGTGGAAACGCTCAAGTTGATTTTTGCGATACTCGGCTTTAAGCTTCTCAACCCCAAGGCAATGGATATCTCCCAGAGGTTTCCCAGGTATGGTTGAGTTTGGACTAGATTGGTGGATCCTTTCGCTTCGGGCCATCTTTAGAAATCGAATCATGGAAGCTGGTGTGATTTTATTTTGACGGGATTGTCGCACATTGTTCAGACCTGCTCTACCCTTCATTGTATTAACCAAATGTGAAAGCTGCATCCAATTGATTTCAGCTATGAATGGTGATGACACCATGATTAAGCCCGATGAGTAACATACCAGACCCACTGTAAGAGAGTATGTCTCTTTTAATCTGTGAATGTCTGTTCCGGGTCCCTAATTCAGAACAAAGCGATGAGTAGTCAGTGTGCAAAAGAAATAGATGTGATAAAACTTACGGCGTGATTATAGAAGTATTTCAGCCAGTAGTTTTTTATCTCAAGATGGAAATCTTTAGCAACAAAGTGGCCATGTCGACCAGTCGGCGATATTAAGAGCGAGTGGAGGATAACATGGGAAAGATTCTTGGGAAGGACTTTGGTAAGCAGCCGAATCAGTCGAGGGAGATATCGAGAGTAATGAGTCAAGCCGTTGATTCCTTGGATTTTCACACTCCAAGACTTCCACATCAGGAGAAGTCGACCAATATCACCATCCGACATTGCACGATTGGCTTCAACCACGGTGGCGAAATCCCGAAGTCGTAGTACCAGCTGGAGTTTCTTGCTATCTCCATTTTGGCGCGCCAGACGTGTGGCTCGTCCCGAAAAGTAAGCTAAATATACTTTATCAACGGCTTCCTCAAAGAGCTCAACAGTCATATCAACGAGATTGTGAACTGTATCAACAGGCAGATCTAGTTCATCACTTGAACGATGTACATCATAACCTTGTCAGTAAACATATTTATTTGGTGGTAAGAAGCCTCGGGTGAACTCACAATATGCAGCTTGCAATGGTGGCCTCATGTATCTGTTCAATCCATCTGATCATCGAAGTGAAATCTTTCTTAGCAGTTGGTTTGAGTTTACTTCCGCCGAGCTCGACTGCAGTTTGCCACGCTCCTAGATCGTTCTTGTTGTCCGGATTGCCCCAGTGATGTAGTAAAATGGCTTGTCCAATGTTCCACAAAGTGTGGCCCGCACCAGGAATCATTATCAGATGTGATAGACTTTCTTCGGCGAATTTTGCAGGAGTTCTTTGGCTTTGTAATCCGTGAAAATTAAGACAGGTCCCAAGATCCCCTTCCAAGATTTGCAGTCGACTCGAAAAATCCTCAGGGGAGAGGCCGGTCTGTTTACTGATCTCGTCATAAAGGGAAGCAATGCCTTCAGAACCGTTGTCTGATGAATCCATCAGTTTGAGCATGTCGATATCAGGTATTTCGGGCTTGATCTGGTCAATGGCGCTAAGGTTCAATATTGACAGTTTCTTGAACTTCTTGGGACTCTTCATATATCGTAGGAGGACCTGAGCAATTTGATTCTTCAGAGTGAGAGTCCATCGAATTTGTTCATCTTGTGTAGGAAGTAAATCTCCTGAGTTTACAGGCTTTTCACAATCGGATTTGACAAAACCCTGAAAAGCTGGCACTGTACATTCTTCTGAATTTACAAAAGTGAGTAAATCGGGTTTCAGATAATGAACATAACCCCAAGTACCATGGAAAATTTTGCTAGTTGCATCCAATCGCCTAGTGTGTACCCGCTCCATCATGTCCAGATTGTCAATACATATAAGGAAACCGAGAGTCCCAGCAGCTTTGATTTTCTTCTTGATAGACTTTGCGTTATCCTTGGCAAGTACTAAAAGACCACGTAGAGCTGATTTCCGACTTGCACTGAGTCCAATCTGATACAAATACTGGTTTACTCGTTCCGAAACGCCACAGGCAAGCAAAGTGATTGTATTTTGAACTTGAAGGGAATTGCATCGGCGATTAGATCCAAAGGCAAGCATTTGAACAATTGTGAGAGCCATCTGCAGATGATATAAAGGGTCAGTGTGGCATTCTTACCGGGCACTTTCAGAAAATCCTTACCGCTTTCAATCGGGTCTTTGTGTTTTCTGCTTTGTTATTTGATTTGTGATAAACGTCATCTTCAGGCAACTTAGTTTTCGAAGAAAAGTTGTTGTGCAAGGCCAAGCCGGTGTCGGAATCAATGTTGAAGTCCTCTTCGGAACCTGAGCTATCGGAAGTCATTCCAACTCCTGAATGCTTATCAACACCAAGTTTAAAAGATATTAATTCATGGATAAAGTTCATGCTTTTGATGATAGTTGCCTCTCTTTTAACATCGGTTTCGCGGTCAAAGAAAGTTGTATCGAGTTTGTTGATGTTGATGTAAAGACTACCAGTTGGGGGAGATTGTGCTGCTACAATCACCTTGGCCTGTGGAAGGGTAAAATATTATAATTGAGCTCACTTCACTTGTTAGATATCTGTATCAAATACTCAAGTGTACCTTTTTCAAGACCCAATCATTCCATTTCTGTCGACATTGAGGCTTTTCATTAACTAGGTCGTCAATCGCATCAAGAACTTCTTCGGTGGTTTTCCATCCCTTCTTCACGGAACCCCACTGTTTCTTACGCCTGACGATCAATTGGTCAGAGGATCGTAGGTAAGCCAGGAGAAATTTCTTGGTGTTGGTTTTGTGTGTTGACATATACCGACAAATCCTTTCGACAAGATCGGGTGTTCCTTCAGGGGTTGGTGCTGATAAACCTTCCAGTGTAGGATCCAGGTGAAAGCTAGTGTCTGATCCTTTGGAACTGCTGTTCATTTCGAATGTTGTCTGAGTACAACTGAGGAATAAGGTGTGAGGAATTCAAAGAAAAGGAAATTGTGTCCGAAATAACAGAAATAATGTATGGGTCAGGAGAGAGAGTCCAAAACTTGATTTAACATATATACAGATGCACATGTACTGTTCTCGCAGCAAAAAAATAAAAAAATAAAAATAAAATCACGATTTTAATGATTTTTGAGGTCCTTTGGACTTTTTGATTTGAAACCTCTTGAGAGGAATCTGAAGAGGCCAAAAGATGGGCAAGACTTTGTTCTATAGTCTGCCCGGATGAAAGTGAGGAGTCATTTTGTGTGACACAGTGAAAATGAGGATTGGAGATGGCCCCTGCCAAATCCAAATCTACTCAGGCTGAAACAACTCGATAAGTCGTAAGTCCCTCCTCCGCAGGCTCCGAAGGACGCCTGCGAGGAGGAGGGACTTAGTTAAGTTAGTTATTGTGATGATTGTGCTATGGTAGTACCGTGGCATTAGATGAGACGCGTAATAGTTGTCATGGCAGGATAAAATATTATAAATTAAATGATTTGTAATGATCAGTTATGATGTCATAGGCTTACCAAATCTCTTTCTCTATTATATCTATATAAGTATCTTAGAATTGTTTTTGTGTTTCTCTTTTTCTTTTCTTTATCGAAACAATTCGTTATTATTGTCACCATTTTGTTTAGAAAATACAACTTTTCGTTAGAGCTGTTCCTATAGAAACAAATAGCTTAGGAATCTTTTCATGAGTTCCGGACCCTTATAATTTCGTAGTTATAACGGTTCTTAAATATACAGCGCTTAATGGATTTATCGGTATTTTTTCATGTGATGTGTGTTACAGGCACATTTAACCTGTATGTCCAAAAGTCAGACAAAACTGGACCAGGCAGTTTTGTCTGAGTGACAGACCGGGTGGGAAGGTGTCAACATTTTGAATTGTCCCCACCTATTCGACTCGACCAATCACAAATTCACGACACATCTCCTTCTTCGATGCCATACTATCGCAGGCATCTGATCACCAAACATCAGTCACACCGATCAAAGGATATCCCCGGTTCGGTCAGTCTATTTTTTGTCCCCCCTTTTCACTTTCTCCCTTCGTTCATACCCGATTTGATCATTTGATCAATATTCCTTGTTTTCCTTCATTTCGTCAAAATTTCCCTTTATATACAAAGTCAGTTCTTTTCTTCCTCATTCCTGTTTGACCTCTTCTTCCGTTTGGACTGACTCATATTTTTTATCCTGATAGAAAGATGCCTAAGAATATCTACACACCCGACATCAAACTAATCGTTGTTCGCCTGGTCTTGCGAGGTGTCTCGTTTCCGGAAATTGTTAGGACCCTTGGTGTCGATGTTTCGCTTACATCTGTGCGTCGGTGGTATGACCTTTACCGAACAACTCGGGCGGTAATCACCAACCCGCTGGAGCATATGGCCCGCGGACCTCCCACCACTTTAGCACAGCCTGAACGAGATTTTGTTCTCGATTCCCTCCGACTTGATCCAACCCTTTATCTTGACGAACTTCAAAGCAAAATTCAAGAAACTCACGGAATTCGAATGTCCTTGCAAACTCTTTCTGTTGAGCTTCGTCGCCGTCTTCAATGGACTCGCAAGAAAGCAAGAACTGTTCACCCTAATCAATCATTCGCCGCACGAGGAGCCTACATTGAGGCTGTTTATGGCATCGATCCTAGATGCTTTGTTTTTACTGGTATGTGTACTTTTCTATCTCTCTTGTAACCTATCTGACATTATACTTGTTTTACTTTTTTTGAAGATGAATCCACCATCGCCAAAAGACACCTTTATCGTGAATACGGACGAGCACCAGTTGGGGAACGTACCAGCCGGGTCCAGCGACCAACTCAATCTTTCCGATGGTCAGTCTTACCGGCTATCTCAATGGACGGCATTTTAGCTATTAAGATCCAACCAGGGGGGTATGCAAGAATTGATTTTGAGGACTTTTTGGAAAATGAAGTGGTAAGTGTTTTACTTCGTCTTAAATATCTCAACTATGGCAATAGAATCATGGATAAGTACACTAGAGATAACAGGATCAAGTTCCAGAGGTGGGAAAGAACCGTAGTCTCTAGTGTATTTATTCATTATTCTCTTGCTATAGTTTCATACTTTCGAAAATCAAGGAACTGACTTGCCCTTCACCCTTTAGTTACCAGCGATGAACCCGTGGCCAGCACGGAA